CACATACAGAAAGGCTTACAGGTAAAACACAGCCATCTGCAGACAATGGTCCTGGTTAATGGAAGTCATCAAAATTCCAAACCACCATTAAAGGCCCACACGTTGCATAATTACAATAGGCCCTCAAAGTTATATTTTATATTATTAGTTTTAGATACAAGAGTGGTACATTTATACAAATAGGATGATCACACTCAGTAAATTATAAACTTTGTAATAATACCTTACAAGAGACCTTTTGCATGAAACATATTCCAGTTACATTATATTCACTTATGTTTTTATAAAACTATTCCAGTTACATTATATTCACATATCATGTTTTTATAAAACCATATAGACTGCACAATGTCACATAGACAACTGCATTAAAGCCAGTAAAGAAACTACATAGACCTCTTATATGCAGTGAACCTATGGCTCCTTAAAGGGACACCGACTTTGATGTTTAATAATCTCGAAGAAGAAGCGCTGAAATTTGTAAATTCTAGAGCAGAAAACCTTAATGCAAAATAAGCTTTAAGGCACACTTTTGGGTTATATTAATGCTGCTATGTAATAAAATGGCAATTAAATGAAAGATATTTAAGTAATTCTTTTTTTCCTCATTATTTCATATGGAATATACTTAGCTTCAATGTTAGTTCATTAGGACCATCTCCTGTAACGATTTTATCACAACCTAACCTTGATGATCCAAGCTGAGAGTAGTCTATGCTTTCTAGATAGTCTATAGACTATGAACTAATTGAGGGGGCCTATTTATATTCTTTTCATGTAGATTCACACCCTGAATTTTATCAATATCCATTTATTTCTTTAGAGTAATGTTATTCTCAACTATCTGGCTTTATGCCAGACAAAACTACAAATCATAATATTCTGCAAACACTAAACATCATTCATCATATTAAATGAACAAATGAAAGTTGCCTACTTCTAGCCTCAGATGCAGAGGATATTCGACAGGGTTTCTTTTTTGTAGTTATTAGAGACATTTAACATTGGACATCTATTAAAACAGTGGTCAAGCTGTTCAACAATTCTCCACGTGCTTTTCTTTTATTCAAATAGCCTCTATTCAATGCCTCAAAGTCTTAGTAGCATACAATACCATATTATTATAATGGTAAATAGACCATGTCAGAGGTTTTGCTCTTAGACACATTCAGTGAGTCTCTCACTAACTGTTTTCCATGCTGACAATCCCCTGAGGGATTTAGATATTTAGGAGTACAAATCTCACCCAATTTCAAAAAACTAATAATGCTAAATCTGTAAACCCTTTTATATCCCCTACATCCAAGGCCTGCAGCGATCTCACAGTTTACCATTATTTATGTTTGGGAGAGCCAGCTTGACAACAATCAATGTCCTTCCACAAGTGTTGTATTTTCTACAAGTCCCTCCTAGTACTTCTATCTATGTGGTTTAAAAAGAGAACTAGATAGATTATGCAGCAACTTTATATAGCATGATAAAAGACCAAGAATCATCTTATTCAGGCTCCAATGATAAAAATCAAAAGAAGGTATTAGTCTTTCCAATTGGAAAATCTGTAACTGGAAAGCTGTAATTCAATATGACCCTAAGTTAAAACCACTAAAATCAGTGCAAAAGTCCCCATGGACTTCAATGGCTTTTAGATCAGAGCCCTATGTTTAGAACTGGTTACATCGTATAGAAATTCAAAACAACAGCCCCATGTGACAAAGTGTCATATTACTCTCCTTTTACAGTTTCCAGCTTGATGTGTAGTGAAGATATTTTGTTCCCCTCAGGAAATCAGTCATCGTCTATGGCAAGGACACACTTTGGGAATACTGGGGGAGCGGGAGAAGGAAGAATATCAATCAAATACCTTATAGCAGTGCCAAAATATTCACTGACTTCCCAGATATGCAGAATACGCCAGAATACTGTTGAACATTGGAGACTTTTTCCAGAGCACCAGGCTATTGAACTTTGAACAGAATGAAATTTGATCTACTTTGTTAGGATTTCAATGTATAACTATAATTTGCCATTTTCTAGATTAGATTACTGAGGGGAAAACTCCACTGGAGAACTGGAGCAGAACTGATTTGAGGAAACATTGAGAACCAAACTGAGTTCCTTACTCCACTGTATAATTTTTTCCCCTCAAGACAGACCCTGGACATGAGAACTTAAAATTCCTCTTTGGTATAATCATTAGCAGAAAGCACTCCTCTGGAGCCTCAATTTACAACATTCACAAAGGGATGCAGTACTTTCAGATATAGAATTCTATTGTCTTTCAACTCTGACCAAAATTAATTCAGATCTATACCTATGAGGCTCCAAATAGAGCTTGTTGGAAACCGGGAAACATTTGAATGAAGATTTGTGAATTTTCCCCCCTTTTATTCTTTGAAATTAAATTTTTTTCACTCAGATTTAGCTTGGAATGTGATTATTAATCAGCCTCACTCAATACACTGTTTATGGAGATGCCATTACGTCATCTGATTTTGGGCACTGGTCTACCATTTCATACATTCCAAGTTGGCAAATGATTTATTATTTAATCTTTTGTAATACATTCTGGAACATGGGACCACATCTCTGACACAGAGTATTGAATATGATGTCAATGGCTGGCAATAATCTTATCCCAAATCTAATGAGTGTAACCAACAAAGTCCATATTATGGATGTGGCAACATGAAATCTGAACTTATTTTAACTTAAAAACAAAACAATTAATAGTAATGAATAAAGATTATATATATTCTGAATGTATTTATAAAGTATCCTCGGACTTAACTGTCAACAGAATACTGCTGTAGACTCTGGACATACCATATTTATACTGAAAGAAATCAATCTGTTGCCCAAAATAGTATTGGTAGAGCTTGTTGAGAAAAACTAAGCATATTTCCTGAAAAATTTCAAATTAAATTTAATTTCTTTCCATTTCATTAAATGTTTTCGTTTTTTAAAATTAAAGAATCATTTTGGTGAGAAAAACACACTTTGAAAAGCAAACACTTTTTCCTGCAAAAAGGGGAAAAATTAAAAAGTGAGAGAAAGTGCTTTTTCTTGCTAAAATGAAATAAATTAAAAATTAATTTTTAATTTGCAAATTTTTCACTGGAACGGTTTCACAATTTTTTGGTAGAAATGTTTGAAAAGGCATTTTTTACAGAAAAAAGTTAAATCAAAAAGTTTTCCAACCAGCTCTAAATATTAGCATGTGGACTTTCATTTTTTAAATTAAAGTTGATTACATGAATATGAAGGAAGTTTATCATTTAGAGTTTTTAATTTTATTAGTTCATTTAATTTTTAAAAATTAAAAGCTAAAATTAAGCATTTGGAGTATAAGTCTTGCAGGGCAGGGATTGTTTCTTTTCTATACTGTACATGAAACCCAACATAATGGCTAATAACTGGCTCTTCCTTGAGTCTTCCATGAAGGAAGCCATGGGTCAGCAGACTGACAACAGCTTAAACAGAACTCTGCCTCTGAGGAAAGGTACAGAGGAACCTCCCGGATGGAGTACATCATTGTCTTTGCCTTTTATTTTCCTTGTTCTTCCTCTGCCATCTTTGAAAGTGGGGGAGGTGGGCCAACCTCTGACAGACCACTGGTGAGAGACAACCCTTAGGAGAAGTACTGTCCATTTATGAAAAAAATAAAAAGTAGGAAAGAATGTAAAGAAGAAGTAAGAGTTACTTGCTAATTCTGCTTTTCTCCCTCCCTCCCCCACTCCTTATAAAACAACAACAAAGGCAGGAAAGCCAGCACTTCTGCAAATTTTCATTCTTGCCACCATTTAAAATTTATATGAAAAAAATGGTTATATTAAGAGTGTGCTAATATTTATTTTATGTAATATTTGGCATTCAAAGCCTTGCTGTGAAATCTTTCTGTGCTCTTTGACTTTAGTATTTCAATAACTATTTTGTTTTGCTGCATGATCATTTGGGAGACAAAGCTCAATTGTGCTGAGCTTTGTCATTTCTGCTTCCACCATGCTTTATATTCTCTTCATTGCCATATTCTCTCTCTGGAGTGTTCTCTTATAATAAACGAGACAGCCATAAAAAAGCTCTAAAGAAACACTGCCCTCCCCTCATTAACTAATGTAAAATTTTTGCAAGAAGTCATGGGACAATTTTTTTTAAATTGTAGAAGACTCGGCAACTAGGAGAAATTCTTAGCAATTAAGGGTAGCTAGTTAGACTTAAGTAAAAAATCATAGGGTTAGAGACAACTTGATTTTCTGGTGTTACTAGCAGCAACTTACTGCTAATGCCTATATTATTGTAATACTCTGACTTTTCACCATTTCTGCTTTTTACCTTTTTCACTTTGCTGAATTTGGCCTTCTCACTTTGGGGATTAAAGTCAAGTATGAGATGAGTCTGACAGTTTCAAAACACAAGCAGAAAAAAATTCCAACACTTTATTATTTGTCCTTCCCAAAACTGTTGTTGTGCACTATCCTTTGAACAAGAAGCTTATGAATGATCACATTTCATATTTCCTTGTAAATTTTGATTATGTTTTGATAAAAAATAGGAAACAGAATTCTAAAAGTAGTTCAGGACATACCAGATTTTAAATACAAACAACAAAGAAGGTGCTATGAATAGGTTTAACAATGATCCCAACTCCACTATCAAAAAGCTTTCATTTTGGATCCACAGCACTCTAAAATGGTTCTCCCAGCCACCTGCAATTGCCTCCCCATATGATCCACCTCCCTTCTGCCAATTCCCACCTCCATTCTGCAGTACCACAGATGCATTTTGCCTAAACCTACCTGGTACATTTCAGCGGTATAACAGGCACATTCCACCTTTAAACAGAATTTGGCACATTCTGCAGCAACCAAGTTAAAAACAGTGCAAGTGATAGAACAATTCATGAAGTGGGTGCATATTGGGAAGGGAGCACTTTAACTCTTTACATATCCGGGATACAGCACACTCACAATTTTCCCTTTTAATTGCCTGTCCATTTTTTATAGATTACACCTCTGTATGTACTTCTGTGAACAGAATAATGCAGGTGCTGCTACAGCACAGCACTCCACAAATATTAATCTAGGTAAGTAGCTCCTGTATCTTAGAAATCAAATGAGTACCATGTGACAGGGGTTGCCATGGTACTTATAAGCATGACATTTTTATAGAATAGTATAGAAAAAAGGCATGTAATTCCTGTGCCACTTATGGATGTGCATATTACAGATGTTTCACTACTTTTAAAAATTGAAAATACATATTTCATTCACAGTCTCAAAAGAACATTCTTTGCATTAAAACAATTTGTCCTTTTTACTACCAGACAGATTTATCAGAATACAATTAAAACAGTATACAGTTTTTTTTTAAAATGAATAGAAGCCAGTCAGATGACAAACTATTCTAAATCTATGTTTACTAAATTAGGCAGATAATTTTTTTTTTGGATATATAGATTAATTATGTAGAAAGACAATTGTTTGTATGATAGACAATAGAAAATATAAGTGCAGAGAGTGCTTGGCTGTTATAAATTGTTTATGAAGTGTCTCTCACTATTTTCATCCAATATTGTTCTTGCAGCAGAGATCATGTGGGCTCCTGCATGCGATTTCCCCTCTCTCCTGAGAGAGGAGAATGTGCCGCAGTCTACTTTTCTTGGGTTACACTGCAGTATGATCGGTTTTCTTATGCAGGCAGTATGATAGGTCTGCCATTCATGGTGCAACAGCTCTTACTTGATAGTGGAGAGAGACAGAAATATGAAATAAGCAAACACTGGATCACAGTGATAAAACGTAGCTATGTCTGAGAAGGAAATAGATCAACACATTTGCACCACCCCCCCCCACTGAAAATTATGTTAATAATGCAGAGGTTTGCCAGCCATTAGATATTCCTGCACTGTAGCTATGTCAGCAGGCTTCTCCTAATATACTGTAAAGCTAAAGAATCCTTTCTGGGTGCTATTTTGGGGCAGCAATTTAGTAATTTTCTAGGCCCACAACCACCAATAAACTACCATCTTTGCTAGGCAGTTTTTAACGGTACGTTATGTTATTTTTGCCTTGCTGATATCTAATCTAGGACAGCAGGTACTTGTGTACTGTTATTTTAGAAGATGGGGGTCTATTCTTGTATTGATGCACAGTGTAGCTAACTCCTATTAATACAAACAGAAGTTATGTTTGTAATTCCCTAGCTCGTTATAATAGACTTCCTAAAGCTGTATTTTTGAAATCTCAAATGAGTCTGGCAGCTTCTTACCATTGCAGTGTCAGCACAGCATGAGAACACATGCTGTTGTAGAACCTAAGCCCATAAATTGTTGGCCCAGAGGCAAAAGTGCTAACAACAAAGCTGCACTGACATATCAAGCAATATAGTTGTCACATTCTGGCATCATCTGAAATTACTTCACTGGAAAAACAAACTAGGAAAACTATAAACTATATAGAAATCTATAAAATATTTTCCATTATTATTTTTATAATTTATTTCATGTACTAATTCCTTAGTTGCCTAAATCTTAAAGAGTAGCCATAATATTGTAATGAATGGCCCTGAGTTTGTGCCCTCTATTGGATGGAATCATAATTACTGAACTATTTGTCATAGGCTCTACACTGGTAACAGCTACTGAAGATTCTTCTTTAGCACAAGCATACGGTGCCTGTGGTTTCTGCAGCAGAACAGTTTGAGTACTGTCCCTACTTGCAGTGTGAATTCTGAGATGTGGTGCAGTATAGTAATATCCACAAAGTCCTAGGTGTCCAAGGATTTGTTACAATATGGTGGCTGACATGAATTGAATATATTAATGTAAATAGTCTTGATCTTTTTAGATTTTGCTGTAAATACCAGTTAAAATCTGATTCATTTGATGGATATTTTATTATACATTTGTAATTCTCTTTGTAACAGTTTTCTTTCAGCAGTGCAAACAGGTTAAATTGAGTCAAAGAACTGGAATTCCATCTGAGTTACTTGGTATTAACTTAGCCTTTAGAATTGCACATTGTTCTGATCACAGTAAACACATTTTTATTAAAGCAAAGCCCTAAGCTGACAGAGCCAAAATGTTCACAGGAGAAGGTGGATCTTTAGGATTAAAATTAGTAGAGGGAAGTAACACAGCAGGCTCTCTCCATTTTAAAATTGTGGATACATTCAGGACATCAATATTATAAGTTCCTTAACTGTTACATGTGTTTCTTTGAAGAGCAAAGGGTCTTTCCAGCCCAAAGGAAGTTGTGGGAGAGGTATAATTAAAATGGTGGCTCTTCTTACCCTGGTCCAGTGGTTTTGCTTCCAAATCTAGCATCTGATGCAAATGCTACTTGTTCACTTACATAGGTGCTTTTTAAAACCATAGATCTCGGGGATGGATAGATAGAACTAAAATCCTCTTATATCCCATCCCCTTTTAAAATATAGATGAACTCGATTTATGCTAGATGTGTGCATGTAGCTTTACCAAAAGACAGTGATTGTTGTAATGTCTGTTTTGTTCAACAATGGCAGGGGAAACAGTAGCAAGTCCTCAGAACCCAGGGCTGAAAATAATAAGGGGTGAAATCTGGCTCCATTGAAGTCAATGAGAGTTTTGCCATGGACTTCAATGAGACCAAGATTTCACCCAAGAACTTATTCTCCCCCTTTTATCCTAGCAACGGGATACTTGTTTTCTAAAGGTTTGATGAACTCTTCAATATCAATGAGTGCGTGTGATAAGAGAATCCAGTTACATTGTCAGAGTGGCGAGCAGAAACTGTAATTTGGGCCAGTATAGAACCGGAGTGGGTCTTTCCCTTTTGGAATTAAGGAGGACTTTTCAGTTCACCCTACTTTCACTTTATACTAACAAGAAGAGAACACTAGGAATTTCTGGAATCTTGCTATTTCACATAGTATAAGACACTAATGGCCCCATTATGCTGGTGCATCCTCCTTACTACATTAACTTTTTGAAAGAACTGGATATCTATGTTCTAGGGAGTAGCAATTGAGATCTCTTGTCTGCCATAAGGGCAGATACCTTCTAGGTGTGCCAGAGTTACTTCTAAGAAAGATAATGGAATACGCACAAGTATTTGCATACATACTCCCATTACTTCTAATAGGAATTACACAGCAGAAATCCACTCTCCTCACAGATATTTCACTGGAATAAAGGACCCAGATGTTTAGAATTTGGGTTATAACAAAAATAATGAGTAATTTAAGTCTGATTATTATTTCAATAAACATCACAACACCACAAGATTAATGATGACAGAAATGTGCAGGCACTCTTATAAGGCACAATGGTGTTACTAATGACCACAAATAAATGCAAGTGTACACTAGCATGTTACAGTAGGAAATACACTGTACAAAAGAGAACTATCATTCCAGTGTTGTCTTAAGAAAACAACGTAGTGTAGAAAGAAGAACAGGAGTACTTGTGGCACCTTAGAGACTAACAAATTTATTAGAGCATAAGCTTTCGTGGACTACAGCCCACTTCTATGCATCCGAAGAAGTGGGCTG